TTTAGCTCAGCAGTGGAAGCACCTGCCTGGCAAGCACGAGATCACCAGTTCAATCATTGGTATCACAAAAAAATAAAATAACAAATTCTGTCACGGCTGTGGGGGAAACTGAATCCTTAACTGTTGGTGGAATTGTAAACTATTACAACCAATATGAAAATCAGTATGGATATTCCCCCAAAAAAACTAAAATTAGAAATCCCACTTGACCCAACTTACTCCTTCTAGATATCTTCCCCAAAGAGTTAAAGATATCATATTATAGTAGTATTTGCATACCCATGTTTCTAGCAGCACAGTTTGTAGTAGCTAAATCTTGAAAGCAGCCTATATATCCATCAATAGATGAATGGTTAAAGAAAATATGGTACTTATACACATGGAGTACTACTGTTCCATGAAGAAGGATAAATTTGAGTCATTTGTAGGAAAATGGAGACTATTAAGGGAAATAAATCTGACATACAAGCTTATCTATCCTATGGTTTCTACTACACAACAAACTCAACATAGAAATAAAGAGAAAAATAAAAGATAATAGGAAACAGGGAAATAACTCTTTCTCAAAAGGGGAGGGAACCAAGAGCTGGGAGGTGGGGGAACAGAGAGGACGAAAGAGGGTAGGAAAGAATTAAAGTTGTGTTGTGCACACGTACCAACTCCCCACAAGGAATGGGATTATTATGTACTAATATAAAATGGGAACTGCAAAGACAGCCCCCAAAGGCTTCTCGCTTGGGAGGGAGCTTCAGTCCCTCCCAGGCAAAGGCTGGGCCTGGCCTGTGTCCCTTCTGCCCCTCCTACTCTCCACATGAGGCCATGAGGCTCCTCCCCGCTCCAGGAAACTCAGCAACAAGTTCGCAGTCCGCTCGCTCCTCCTAAACTGGCCAGCTGGGGCGGCCTGGTTTAGGAGCAAGGTGACCTAAGACAGGTCCCCTCTGGCCCCTCATTTGCTGGCATTCTCGATTGTGTCCCACAGGCCGCTACAGATTTGTTAACTTTTAAAATTCTTTTTTCTCTGTTCCTCAGACTGAATAATCTCAGTTTATTGTTCAATTTTTCTGATTTCTTCTGTCTTTTTTCAAGATCTGCTTTGAGGTTCCTGGGGGAATTTTTAATTTCATGTATTATATTTTTCAATTCCAGAAGTTTTATTTTCTAGTATTTCTATTCCTATTTCTTTATTGACACTCATTTTGGTGAGACTTCATGTTCATACTCTTGTTCTGCAGACAGTTTCCCTTTAGTTCTTTGAAAATATTTAACATAAAAGATTTAAAGCCTTTGTCAAAGAAGTACAATATCTGTGCTTTCTCAGAAATACTTTCTAATAATTGAGGGCTTTATTTTAATTGATTCTCCCTATCAGTTTCCTGTTTCCAATGTCATTGATTTCTGTTCTCCTCTTAATTCTTTTCTTCTACTTGATTTTGGCTTATATTGATCTTTCTCTAGTTTCCTAAAGAGGAAGCTTCAATTGTTTCCTTCAGATCATGTTTCCTAATAAATACATAAAAACAATAAATTTCCTCCTGCCCGCTACTTTTACTGTATCTTGCATTTTTTCTGTTTGTATCTTTGTGACACAGGTCTCACTATGCAGTCAGAACTCACTTTGCAGCCAGGCTGGTCTTGAACTTGCAGCAACCCTCCTGCCTCAGCCTCCTGAGTGCTGGGATTATAGGCTTGAAACATTTTTCTGGCTCTCACAAATTTTTGCAGTTGCATTTTTGTTTAACTCAAAATATTTTTATAGCAAATGCAATCCTGGGCAACAAAAGTGAGACAAGAGACATCGCAATACCTGACTTGAAATTATACTACAAAGTTGCTATAATAAAACTAGCATGATACTGGCAAAAAAGAAAAAACAGGCCTGAGGATCAATGGAACAGAACAGAAGACACAGACATACTTGGCCACCTTATCTTTGATAAAGGGGCCAAACAAGTTCACTGGAAGAAAGCCTCTTTAATAAGTGCTGTTGGAAAAACTGGCTTTCTACATGCCAAAGTCTTAAACTAGACCCATTCCTATCACCATGAACTAAGCTAAAATCAAAATGGATCAAAGATCTAAACATTAAGACAGAAACACTCAACCTACTAGAAGACAACGTAGGTAGAAATCTCATGGATACCAGGGTAGGCCGATGGTTCATAAACAAAAACCAAACTGCACAGGAAGTATGTCAAAGAATTAACCCTTGGATCTCATGTTTCTTGAGTATTTTCGCACTCAGTCTGAGACAACACTGGGGTGGACCTAAGTCAGCTGGTGATGGTGGATCTGGGTAATGTTTTATCTGGGGATTGGAAGGTTCTTGGTGCATGTGGAAGGTAGGAAGTCTATTTTGGGTCAGGAAGAAGTGTGACAAGGGGTCTTTTTGTGGTCTCCTCACCATGTTAGATCTCTGCCATGATGACTTGGAAGATTCATGTGAGCAAAAACCTGTCAGTCTTATTAAAAAGTATTTGCACATGTAAAGAAATCACCAACAGAGTTAAAAGAAAACCCACAGATTGGGAAAACGTTTTTTTCCAACTGTCCCTCAGACAAAGTACTTTTATCTAGAACACATAAACAATTGAAATAAATAAATAAATAAATAAATCTGGCCCCCCAAATTTAAAGACCCAATCCAAAAATGGGTATCTGAGATGAATACACAATTCCCAGATGAAGAAATACAAATGGCAGATAAATATATGAAAAAATGTTCAACATCATTGGTAATTAGAGAAATAAAATTTAAAACTACACTGAGATATTATCTCACTCCAGAAAAAATGGTTAACATCAAGAAATTAACCAATAACAAATGCTGGTGGGACTGTGGGGAAAAATGAACCCTTCTCCATTGTTGATGGGAGTATCAATTGGTACAATCACTGTGGAAATCAATATGGAGATTCCTCAAAAAATTAGGGTTGGAGGTTTCATTCTACACAGCTATTCCTCTTCTGGGGTCTTCCCAGAAGCACTGAAAATACCACAATGATATATGTGTAGCCATGTGTAAGTAGCACAATTTGTAATATCTAAATCCTAGAAACAACCCAAATGACTATCCACTGAAGAATGGGTAAAAAAGATGTGGTATTTGTACATAATGGAGTACTACACAGCCATAAAGAAGCATAAACCTTAAAAGCCCATGTGCTGCATGGAAAAAAAATAAGTATAAATTTGAGGTTTTTGTAAGTAAATGGGTACAACTGGAAACCATACTCATAAATGAAATAAATTAGACTTGCTTGTGTAAACACCAAATTGTCTTACTAGTTTAAAAACCTGAAAGAGTAAATAAGATCCAAAAATTACACTAAATATAGCAAAACAGAAACTGCACAAAGGGAAATTTTATTGTTTGATCAAACTTGCATCCTTGTATCTGGTAGCCTGAGCAAACATTTTGAAGATAACAATGTGTAATATAACAATCATTGTTAAATCTTGTTTGTGGTTGTTGTTGCTGCTGTCATCGTCATTTTGCTTTCATTGTTTTTTGTTTGCTTCTTGATTTTTCTGGGGTTTTTTCTCTTTAAAAATATTTTTTTTTTAATTTCTTTGACAACTACATGGCCCATAAGATATTTAGAAGTATGTTGTTTAATGTCTTCTTTATACTTAGCATGAGTTTCTTGTAGAGAACATACAGTTGAGTCTTGTTCCTTTAATGCACAAGCTCTGTTATTTAATTGATGCTTTAAACCCTTCGGGTTTCAGTGATTTTTTATATCGTTTGGGATACATTGATCATGTTTGTAAGTGTTTCCTATCTATTGCTTTTTTTTCCTCCCTCTGGGTTTAACCAAGCATTGTGAGATTCCATTTCCTCTCTCTGTGTCTCTCTCTGCCTCTCTGTCTCTTTGCCTGTTGTCTCTCTCCCTCTGTCTCTCTCTTTCTCTCTGTCTCTCTCTGTCTGTCTGTCTCTCTGTGTCTCTCTCTCTCTTTCTCTCTCTCTCTCTTTTTTACATTTTTCAAACATCTTCTGGCTGTGCAGCTCAGGCTGGCCTTGACCCCATTTTGTTGCCAGGCTGGTCTCAAACTCACAACAATCCTCCTGCCTCAGCCTCCCGAGCGCTGTGATTACCGGCATGAGCCACCACGCCCGGCTTCTCTGCTCTCTTACACATGAGTTATACTACCTTGTGCACCTCTGTGAGCATACTGGTATTTGGAATGCGCATTTACAGCTAAGCTAAACCCACTCGCCAATAGTGCTATGCCATCTCGCAGGCAGCCCACATACCTCCGGCTATGTTATCCACATGTCACAATCATCCAGTACATTGCTGGTCTCATTATTCCAACAACCTGTAATCTATTAGAGTGCAGACAGTGGGGGATTTTACATTGTCTTCAGTCATTCCCTCTCTAACATTCTTTATTTAAAAAGCAGACATAAATTTCTAATCTATATCATTTTCTGTTTCTCTGATGAAATTTTAATATTTCATGCAAGGTCTACTAGTGTAAAGCTCCTCGATTTTTGTTGGCCTAAAAAGTTCTTATTCCACAAATTCCATTGTTTTAATGTATTCAATAGATAGCCTAGTTGGTTTCATTTATACTGCTGGTTTATTATCATTCTTTGAAGAGAAAGATTTGTGTTATTATTTGTTTGCTTTTTTGTAAGAATCTTTTTGGTGTGGCTTGTACTCTGATTAAATACTATGAAGAAATGGAGCACAGTATAATAACTATTGTGTCCTCTTATCTGTGAAATTTCATTTTATTTTTTCATAAAATAATAAATAAATTGCTGTGTTATTCTGGGCTGCAAAAAAAGAGAGGGAAGCCATGTGATATTTAAATTTGCGTGTCCGCTTTATTTTACTTAACATGATGGTCTCGGTGCATCTATTGCTCTGCAGTAGACTAGACCCTGAATTCCAGCCTGGTGCGTTTCTCTTTCAGCACTTTAATGGTTCCGTTTCCCCTTGCGTGCATACGTCAAGGTTGATGTAAGTCTTATTTTTAGTCTCCTATAGATCCGTTGTTTTTCTCCTTTGAATTCTTCTGAGACTTTCCCTTTCCCCCGATTCTCCTTAGCCTGCCTGTGACATGCTGTTATGCGTGTGTCATCCTGCTGGATGTTCCCGCGGATTCCTGGATCTGTGCTCTGATGGCTGATACTAAGTTTAGAAAACTGTCAACCATGACTACTTCAAAGCTTTCTCCAGTTCCTGTATGTCTTTTCTTCAAGGTCCCCATTGTGTATACAGACAGCTTCTGTCATTGTCCCACGGCTCTCGGATGTGTGTTATTGCTTTCACTCTTGCTTTCTCTCTGCTCTGCAGGTCCGGACTTGTCTGTTAGGAAGCGGCGCGCCTGCAGGCCCAGCGTCCTCGCAGCTCTGTCCAGCCCACCGGGAGCACACTGGATCCAGTCCGCACTCCCGGCACGGCGTTTTGGATCCGCAGCCTTCCTCTGAGCCCCTCTTAGAGCCTCCCGCCGCCACTTGCAGTGCTCCTGCACACTATGTTTTTTCATGTACAGCCTGATTTAGTTTCAATTCCTGTTCTGATCATGTTAAAATCTCGGCCATATCTGAGTGCAGTTGTGCCATTTGTCTTGTCTTTTTAGATAGTGGAATTTTTTTTCTTTATCATATGGCTCTTTGTTTTTATGAAATCTGAACATAAGCTATTAAGTATAAAGGGAGCTTGGGTAAAAATGCTTTCAGTGTGTAAGTTTAGATTCACCTGGCCTGGGAGCAGACTGTGCTTATTGTTTGCTGTAGCTGTGTCAGGGACTAAATTGTCTTCTAATGTCCTTATTTTCTTTAAATAATTAAATTTTATTTCAGTGGTATGTGCTTGCAGTATACGATGTTTGCATTCGCCTTGGGGAATGGGAACCAACGTGTACCATAGCTGGATTCCTTCCGCCCTTCCCTCCACACCCACCTCCCTCCCTCCGCCTCTAACCCATTTTCAGGATTCTCCTCGTCATTCCCTGTTTAGTTCCTGTTTACAGCTCAGGGCCTCCTGTTATCTGCTGTTATGATCAAGCCCTCCGAGACAGGAAGGCTAGAGAGGCCTGGAGTTGGATATTTGCTTCTACCAGGTTGGCCAGGCCTTGGTCAAGCCCAAGTCAAACTAGCACTTTTAACCCTTTAAGAATAGCTTTGGTTGAGAACAGGCTGCCTATGTCAAAATGGTTCTACTCCCCCCCTCCTCCCAGAAGAATGCGTGGATTTTTTTCCTGCTTCCTTTTCTAGGAATTTGGTACAGTTCTTAGAGAGACAATTCAAGAAAGTGCATCCCACACCAAAATTGAGTACACAGGAGTCTTTTTTGTTTTTTGAGAGACAGTTTCTCACTTTGTGGAGTTTACACTCACCCTGAACTCTATGCAGTCTAGGCTGGCCTGGAATTCACAGCAATCCTCCTGGGATATCAGGGGCACAGAAATCTTGAATCTCTCAAGCTTGTCACCCTTAGTTTTAACACTTAATCAACTATCCTGTGTGGGTTTTTTTAACGATTCTTGACACTAGTGTCAGTTTGTGTTCCCAGTGAGCTGTGATTCTCTGGGTTCCGCTGTCTCTCTAGTTTTGGGAGCAGACATTTGCCCTGTAACTTCACTTCTCGGATAGATGCAAGAAGAGCTGCTGGTCTTTAGCTTGTTCAAGATAGGACTTATGATTTCCAAGATCTTCATATATCCAATTGGAAACTGGAAATCTCAATTACTTTTTTTTAGGAGGGTGCCAAGATGCTAACATGGGAAAAACAATGTTTGTTTTGATTAGAGCATGTTAGAATAATCAGGTTCCCATACAAAAGATTGACTTTCAATCCCTACCACATTTTGTATAGCAAAATTAAAACAAAATGTAAAAGCTAAAGTTATAAAACTCTTAGAAGAAAACATAAAAGTAGACCCTTATAAAAATAAAATAGGTAAATAGTAATTAGATCCTTGTGACCTTGAATTACACAATGGTTTCTTAAACTGCACAGTTAGCACAAAATCAAAAAGGGAAATTGACTCGTCCTAATGAAATGCTTTTGACAATCAAAAGCATTACCAAGAAAGTGACAAGATGATGACAGCAAAGGTATCGACAACAGAAAAAAGTAATCCAATTTCACCAAAATGTAACATTTTTGCAAAAAAGGAGACTACGAACACATTAAAAAAGCAACCCACAGAATGAGAGAAAACATTTACAAATAATGTACCTGATATGGTGTTGTCACGCAAAGTATATGAATAACTATTACAACTCAACAACAAAAATCCAAACGACTCAATTTTAAAATGAGTAATGGGAGGGAAAAGGCAGGGGTTGGAAAAAGAATCGACGCGTGCCATGCACATGTGCCAACACCACACAAGAAATGTAATCATTATGCACCACAAACATGGGCCAACAAAATTTAAAATTTACAAGATTGAACAAAGGACTTACACACTCATTTCTCCAAAGAAGGTGTACAGAATAGCCAATAAACACACAAAGAGATGTTCAGCATCCCTAATTAAGGGACTGCCAATCAAAAACACATGGAGATGCACTTCATATCCAGTTGTTGTGGTTTAGATCTGAAATATCCTCCCCCAAATTCTCATGTGCGTGGAAGTTGATTGGATTAGAGGGCACTGTGCTCATCAGCGGACTCATCCATTGATGGATTCAGAGCTGGAGGTGCTGTTAGGAGATAGTGCCTGGTCAAAAGAGGTGAGTCAGCAGAGGCATGACCTGGAAGGGAGGGTGTGTCTCCACCCCTGGCTCCTCCCTTCTCTGCTTCAGAGCCACTACGGGAGGAGCAGTTGTTTTCTGCCAGGCCCTACCACATACCATGCCTTTCCTGCCTTGGAGCCAGCAGCCCACAAACTGAAGATATCAGCAAAAATAAACCTCTCCCATTTTGAGTTCTAAGTGCATTATGTCCTAGCAATGGGAAAGTGACTGACACATCATTAGAATTGGTGTTATCAAAAAAGAAAAAAATAATAATAAGTGCTGGCAAGGATGTGGGGAAAGCGAGAAGGTAAAACATGCAGCTGCTGCAGAAAAGTGTGACTTTGCCTCCAAAACATTTAATATAGAACCACCATATGATCCAGCAATTCTACTCCTGCGTGCACACCCAGGAATAATTAAAAGCAGTGAGTCAAGCACGGATTTGTACATTTATTTTCACAGCGATGTTATTTATAGTAGCCAAAAGACAGGAACAACTCAAATGTTCATTGGCAGATGAATAGATGAACAAAATGTACAACACAATGGACTATTTATCCCTCCTTAAGAGTAAAATTCTGACACACACTACAACATAGGAGCAGCATGAAAACTTTATGTTAAGTGAACTGTACCAAGCAGTAAAGGCTGCATGTTATATGATTCCCCTTATACAAAATATCCAAAATGGGTAAATCAATACTCACAGAAAACATTAGTGATGAAATGTATTTATGTAAACTATGTCTCAATAAATATATATATATTAATATAAAAAGATATTTACTATAGAAAGTGTTATATGTGATATTAGGGATTAAACCCAGGGCCTAAGCATTCAGTTACATCCCAAGCTTCTGTGTGTGTGTGTGTGTTTGTATGTGTGTTTCACCTTAGATTTCTAAGTTGTTCACATTAGGCTCAAACATATGGTCCCCTTACCGCTACCTCCCAGAGTACTGGGATTACAGTACTAAAATAGCTACTGTTAAAAAGGCTGAAAATATCTAGTATAGGCCAGATTTTGGGGTGCCTTGAACCTTCATTTCTTGCTGGTGATAATAGAAATTGGTTCAATAGCTTCAGGGAAATATTTAGCACTATCTCTAAACTAAAATGTACTTATACTCAGCAATTCCTAGACAGACATTATTTCCAAAAGCCCTGAGTCCATATATGCTTCAAAAGTCACGCACACACACAGATGCACACACAGATGCACACCCAGGCACACACATTCTTCATAGCCCCCAGCAATAAAACAGTCCAAATATCCAGCCAGAGTACAATGGACTTAAGAATTCTGTCGTATTTATAGGCAGGATGTTTACACAGCCATACAAAATAAGCAACTACCACCAAAGTAATATAACTAAATCTCACAAACACAAAAAATGGACAAAAGAAACCGGATTCATAGAATGAACTCTGCATGCCTGTATTTAAATAGAGCTCAGGCACTAGTGAAGTTGACTTAGTGAGCCTTTTGGGGTCCCAGAAATATTTTATTTTTCAAGCTATGTGAGGAGTTATATAGGCATGTATGTGTTTAAACTTCACCCAACATATAGCTTTACTGAGTCAGTGTATTTCTCCGCATGTAAAGTTACACCTCCACATAAAATTAGATTAAAACACATACTCAAAAATGTTTATACGAACTTTTTATTTGAGGGGTGAAAGCCAGAGCTTTGGGCACACTTAGGAGTACTGTCGCTCAGCTAGTGGGTACATTTTTATATTGGAAACAAAGCAGATGCCCACCTGTAATAGCATCAATACATAAATCATGGTATATGGGTCTTACATAAAAATGTAAAATAAACCACTGGCATATACGAAGATACAAATGAATTTTAGAAACATAATATTGAACAAAGTGTGTGGAGTCACTCATGAGACAGCAATTTCACTGCTAGATGTGTGTCTAAGAAGACTCATGGCGAGTACTCAGACAGATGCTTGTACAGCCATGGCACCATTAGTCTTGAATATTTCTTGTAGTAGTCTATGTTTACAGTACGTAATGATTACATTCACTGTGGGGAGTTGGTACACGTCCCTAACAGATCTCAATTTTCCCCTTCTTCTCCACTCCTCCGCTTATAAAGTTTTGGCCACCATCAGATTCATTAGTTATCTTAGAAATACTTGTAAAGTTGAATATCCTATATACAGATTAGCAAGCAAGCTAGCAGGCCAAAAAATACATATAAAATACATAAAATGACTATATTAAATCAAGGTACACTTTTACACATACTGTCCATGCTGGATTACAGTTACTTTTCCCCCCTTTTTTTCCCTATCCTCTATCTCTTTTTTTTTGCAATTTTTTTTACATATTGGATCTCTCACATAAGAAAAAATGTGGTATTTAAGCTTGTGTGTCAAACACTATTCTGCTTAAATGGTTATGTTTTGATCTGCACTGTTTTGCTGTTATGCCCTCTTTTATCTCAATCTCCATTTTATTATTTACTTTTTTATTTTTATCCTTTTAATTAAGGGAAAAATAAATTTAAAATAGCAGGATAGATTATAGTAACCCACTTTGACTTTCCATTATCTTGATTTAAAGCCCTGTATTGCTCTCACCATCTTGTTCTGACTGATGTGCCTCTATTCTGTTTTGCTTGATAGTACCAGGTTCGAAAGTTTAGGCAACAGCTGTGAAGATAGTGGGATTCATTATGACGCCCATTCTGATTGACTATTATCTACTTTTGAAGACCTATAATGTCTCCAATGTTTTGGTTTTGCTGGTTTTGTTCTTTACTGTTTTGTTCAATTTTATTGTAACTGATGATATAGGCAATTCTATTAGAAATAGCGGGAGGCATTATGGTAACCATTGTTGATCACCTTGTATTATGCTTTTACATTATCTATTATGTCCACCCTTTTGATTTGACTGACTCTATTTTGTTATGTCTCATTTGGTTCTACTCTCTTCCAAAAAAGTGATAACTGTGGGAGCAACAAAACCCAAAATATGTAATTGTCATTGTACAAAAGAGAGGAAAAGAAAGTGCTCTAAACGATATAACTGCATGTATATTTAAGTGTATAAGATAGATAATATTACTGAGTTTTGTTGGATCATTGTACAGAACTGTTTGCAGTCTCACTGTTGGAATGTCCACTTTACAAGCTTTAATTTTGTAACTTGAACAATTATTTCTAAGATGACAATATGTAATCCATTAATTAGTGATTTCCTACTGTTTATTTTTTTCTGTAAATCTGTATAACATGTACCCTTTCTCTGTTTTTTTTTCTTTTGCTCCTTAAATAAAATTTAAAAAAAAAGAAGCTTGTGTGTCTGATCTATTTAACATTTATGGTTTCAAGGGGCATCCATTTTCCTACAAATGACGTAAGTTTAACCTTCTTCGTGGCAGAGTAATACTCCACTGTGAATCATGCCACATTTTCTCTATCCCTTCATCTGCTGATGAACACAAAGGCTGCTTCCAAGGTTTAGCTGTTATGAATTGTGCTGCTAGAAACATGGGAATATGTACATCACCCTGGTACAGTGCCATTAGCTTTTTCGGGAAGATACCCAGCAGGGGACTAGCTGGATTAGATGCAATTTCTATTACGAGTTCTTTGAGGACTCTCCATGCTGATTTCCATTGCGGTGGTATCACTGTACATTCTGACCGATAACTGACACCCCCACACACATCCTCACCAGCACTTATTATTGGTTGATTTCTTGATGGCGGCCATTCTTTCTGGAGTGGGATTTATTTTAGTTTGCATTTCTCAAATGGCCAGTGATGGTGAACATTTTTTTTTCATGTATTTATTGGTAATTTGCATTTGAGAAGTATCTATTCATTTCAGATGCTCATTTTTTGATTGAGTCTTTACATGTGAAGGGTCCTTTTTTTGTTTGTTATATATTCTAGATGTTTGTCCTCTGTCTGAGGGGTACCTGACCAAATATATTCTCCCCATTTGTTTTCACCTCATTTGTTGATTCCTGGTATTATTTTGGTCAGCGTGTGGAAATCCAGTTTTCCCAGTACCACTGGGTAGAGGCTAGCTTTCCCCCACCAAAGGTATTATTTGTCCCCTTTTTCAAAGATCAGACGATGGAATATGCTTGAAATTGTTTCTGTATCCTGTATTCTGATCCATCCATCCTCAAGTCTATTTTGCCAGTTCTGTGCTGGTTTAGTCGCTGTAGCTTTGCAGTATAATTGGAAGCCTGGGACTGTAATGCCTCTGCCTTGCCCTTGTTGTCTGGAATTGCTTTTGCTCTTTTAGGTCCCTTCTGGCTCCGTAACAATTTTAGAATTTCTTTCTCTAGTTCTGTGAGAAACACTATTGATAATTTGATTAGGATTACTTTACATCTTGTAATAGTTTTGGAAGTATGGCCATTTTGAAAAGAAGCTGGGTACAAAAGAGTACATATGTCCCTTCTATTTATATGAAATTATTGAGCAGGCAAAATTAATGCACAGTGAGGTAATGCAGAGGGTAATGGTGGCCTTTGGAAGAGGTTATTGATTAGAAAGGGACAAAGGGGAGCCTATTGATGATGGGCTAGCTTTGAGGTGTGATGGAAAGTACTGTGAACATTTTAATAAGCAACTGGCACAGTGAAAGGCCCATTGCCATGAAATGCCCTGCAAATCAGTGCCCTCCCCCAGGTGGCACACACTGAGCCCATCCTTCTGGTCGCTTCCTGGAAGTCCTCTTTTATGAATAGTGTCTACAGTTGTGCAGTTGTGGCTGCCTCGACGTCCTGAATTGGTTCGACATGTGGGCCTCATGGTCATTCTGACTTTGGGGAAGAGCCACGGTGAGTTCCAAGTAAGGAGTGTGCGGTGGGGGTGGGGGCTCATGGCAAGGTGTCTTTTGTCATTGTTTTATTTAAACATTCACTCTATAATTTGATCACACCTTATGCCTTTGAGCAGGGTGATAGAAGTTACACACATACACACTAAGTGTCACGATTTCACTTACAGCACCTAAGCTATATTTCTATGTAAAAGAGGGAGTGCTAGGCGTGGTGGTGCATGCCTGTAATCACAGCCCTCAGGAAGCAGGCTGTCAGTTACGGCCAGCCTGAACGATATTGCAAAACCCTGTCTCAAACAAAACAAAACAAACATCCACTGAAAAGGGGGAGATAGAAACTGGAGAAGGCATTGGTTTTTGCTGGCGTTTCTGCAAAGCCTCGATGTGGAGACAGGTGCTCTGGGTGGACCTGCCCCTCGGCTGGCACCTGGGGGAAAGCCAGAAGCCCCAGTGTCTCCACCTGCTATACTAGGGATGCAGAGCAGCAGCTCCTGGCCTTGCTCACTCCAAGTGAGCATGATAACGCCAAGTGCATTTAGAGGCTCCTTGACTCTGTGAGGTACAGGGGAATGAGCCAAGCGAGGAGGCAGAGAAGAACCTTCCCGGGTGGTGTGCGAACCCCTTCTGGTTTCTGGTGGTCACTGGGAGTAGTGGGGGACAGAGGCGAGACCTGTTGAATGTGACTTGCAGGAGGTAAGCCAAGCACACTGTGTGGAACAGAGCTAGGGCAGAGTTTACCTCAGACCTCTCCCATCTGCATTTGAAAGCCGAAAGCCGCCTGCTCCTGAAGCCCTGTGGAGAACAGGGACACAGCATCCTGGGTTTGCAGTCCTCGCAGCAGGGAGGAATTCCCCCTGGGTGGGGGTGGGGCAGTCAGCCTGCTGGAGAGATCATGCTGCTAGCCCTGGGACCCTGGGACCTTGGGCAGTGAAAGTTAGGATGGTCTCAGTCTGTCCCCATAGTCAGCAAAGCAGGACAGAGCCACCGACCACCGCGGATGAGTAACTCTGTGATGTGTATGGGTGTAGGAAGTGTGCACTTTAAAAAAAAATAGCAATTTGCTATTATATATTATTTTGAACTTTTTCTTCTTATCCAGAATATTTTGTCTTTGGACTCTTTCAAGACGGTGTTCCTGAGATTGGAGGCTTTGCCCAGTGGCCATTCTGGACCCCACTTCAAGCTAGGAATGCCAGCCTCCCCTCCTTCAGTGCCCCCCACCCACCCACTGCAACCTCTCTGGAGTCGTGGCAGCTTAACTGGAGCTCGGCTTCATTCCTCCCGCACTGGCAAGGGGCTTGTTCTCAGAGGCCAGGGAGGCAGCTTGGGTCATCAGTGCTCCCACACCCCCACCAGCTCCCCACTTGGGTCATCAGTGCTCCCACACCCCCACCAGCTCCCCACTTGGGTCATCAGTGATCCCACAGCCCCACCAGCTCCCCACTTGGGTCACCAGTGATCCCACACCCCCACCAGCTCCCCACTTGGGTCATCAGTGCTCCCACACCCCCACCAGCTCCCCACTTGGGTCATCAGTGCTCCCACACCCCCACCAGCTCCCCACTTGGGTCATCAGTGATCCCACACCCCCACCAGCTCCCCACTTGGGTCATCAGTGATCCCACACCCCCACCAGCTCCCCACGGTCAGGGAAGGTGATTAAAGATCAGAGGGTCCTAAGACTGCTGTGGCATACAGCAGATTGTCCCAGGAACGCAACCTGTACCAAAGTCTTCCAATTCTCCAAGGTCAACGCTGCTTGACCCTCCCCGCAAGTAACTCTGGTGGACGGAGGAAAGAATTCATCCAAAACCACTGGTTAAAGCCACAATAGCACTTTTATTTAGTTGCTAGCACAAATAGAGAATAGAATTAAGGCAGTATAATATGTTTTTTGCTTATCCTTACAAACTTTTGTACAGTAAACTTCACTTAAAGTGTCAGTTCTAATCAACACCTGAAATGCTTATTAAACAGCAGATTTTTTTTCCCTTGAATTCTAGAGAATCATTCCCTGGGCTGTCAAGTGTGCTGATGCAAGACTGCTACAGCGTCACATTGTGTGTCACTCCACCTCAGTCAAATGTGCTGGGACTGAGGGGCATTGGCTTCTCTTCCTCCTCATGAGAGGCACAAGGCTTTTGGCAGAACACGGCACACTCGGTTCAGTTCTGGCGATCGGTTATCACTGAGAATTCCCTTGCGAATGCAAAAGAAAAATGTAAACACTGTGTAAAAACATCAACCTGTTTAAAAAAGCAAAGGAAAAAATACTCTGAGGTAAAGGGTAGTTATGATTTATAAAAACAACTGTAATTGAGACTAGGAACGTTAAGTTTGGATCTGCAGAGGAGTTAGTTATGTGTGCATCTGTGTCTGTGAAACTAAATGGAAGAAAATCCTGGCAAACAGCACAAACTTAAATGACTAAAAATAGAGTAAATGACTCTCACCATTTGCAGCCCTTTTTGACTATAAAACTCAGCACCCAAACTTGAATTTTCACAAAAAAAAAAAAAATGGTGTGACTACATCTTTCCTTTCTCGCAGGCATGAAAGTTTCTCTTAATAAGAAGCTCATCAAATTGCATTCTTTAGCTATGGGTTATAGTTTGTCACTGTAAACAAACTTTAAAGAGTGCTCACACTTTCTCGTAACTGCTTTTCTGACTGCCATGAAAAACTACAACAAAGAGTTAACACAGTTAAAACATAAAGCTATGCAGTCACAGTCACTTGACAAAAGTGGTCACCAAGGCACGCCTTCGACATTGCGCATGCACTCCTCCCCCACCTGAAGTGGGAGAAGACAGCAAGAGCAGCAGAGGGAATCGCAAGGAAGAAGGGGTGAGGTGGGAGCCGAAGCCTAATAGTGCCGTGTCCGGGCTGCCGAGGGCTGGAGGAACAGGTGTGAGAGTGAGGGGAATCCTACCTGGAAGATAGCAAGAGCCACACACACATTGTTTGCAAGTACACGGTGTCAAGAAGGAGTATGCCTGAAAGATGGGTGTCAGTGCCCGTGTGTGTCTGTGTGTGTCTCACTTTGGGTTACATGTGCAGAAAGAAGAAAGTGGAAAGTGGGGTACCACCTGGCCACTAACAAAGACACTTTTCACACAGCCGTCTCGTCGGAGTCATCTTCAACACCCATGACCCTCATGTCGCGATACCCTCTGGAAGCAGTGGTGACTACAGCAGGGTCACAGGGGTCATCGGCGAACACGGACTCCGGCTGGCTGATAGGAGACTCAGACTCCGGGGACGCTCTGGCAGAGCTGGAGACAGACTCAGGGAGGTCGACGATGGTGATGCCAGACTCACGGTATCCGGTAGCGGCCATCTCGGAGCAGTGGGAGCCAGGGAGCACTGGGTAGCCGGTAACAAGCTTCATGCGGCCAGTGGTGGGTTTCCGGTGGCTGATGACTGGGCTGAAGGCACCCCTGGAGTGGCTGCCAACAGAGATGTGACTAGTGGTAGGCTTGCAAGCAGACCTGAAATGGACAGTGTCATCCTTGAAGTGGACAGAGACAGGCCTAGGGTGGACAGTGGCAGACTTGGGGTAAACAGAGACAGACTTGTAGTGGCTGGACACAGATTTCCGGTAAACAGAAGAAGACTGAGAGTGGGGCTTGGAGTGGCCAGAGGCACAATCAGAGTGGCCAGCTGCAGCATCACCAGGCAGTGGAATATTCCGGAAGGTCATCGGGATTCCCTCCACATTAGGACAGCCACGGGCACGGTCTTCGTTGCGAGCATGGGCACGGGCATGGGCACGGGCATGGGCACGGGCGTAGGCACGGGCGTGGGCACGGGCGTGGGCACGGGCACGGGCTTGAGCCAGGACACGGGCCTCCCGTGCCTCACGGATTCTAGTGATGAGGCCAGAGATGAACAGGATAGGGTGGCGAATGGCATGGAAGATGGTCCAGTATTCTCGGCGGAAATTCTCATTGAGGACCCCATAGACGACAGCATTGAGGCAGCTGTTGAAGTAGGCTATGAAGTACGCCGTAAGAAAAATCCAGTCGGGGATCTTGCTGGTCACCTCCTTGGAACTGACAGCCACCAACACAGTAAGCACATTGACAGGGCCCCAGCACACTACAAAAAGGACGAAGATCACAAACATGGTTAGAAAATTGCGAACCTCAGCAAGTTGGTTGTCAGGATCCTGCCCAGCCTGGTCACGGGCTGCCAGCACTTTGCTCCAAATCCTCATGTAACAGAAGCCGACGATAAGGAGCGGGAGGATGAAGTGGATGCTGACGATGATCACGGTGAAGGTGGAGTTGTTGACATGGTTGAAGATGCAGGTGTAGGTGCGGGGGTCATACTCGATGGTGCCAACGTACATGTTGGGCAGGACAGCCACAACAGCCATGACCCAGATGATGACCAGGTAGATGCAGGTGTTGCGCACGCTGAAGATCTGTTCGTATTTGAGGCTGTGGCAGATGTAGCAGTAACGGTTGACAGCGATGGCCAGGATGTTGAAGACTGAACCCACCACGCTCAGGCCTGTGATGAAGCCGATTATCTGGCACTGCAGCTGGCTGAGATCCCAGCCCCCGACGGACATGGCATACAGCATCAGGGGGTAAGGGTAGATGGCCACCAGCACATCGGCAGAGGACAGGCTGACCACGAAGATGTTGGCTGGAAAACACGGGGGGGGGGGGGGAGAAGGGGGAGACAGAAGAAAAAATGGTTACCCTGCAGCTATCCGCAAATCTAAGGCAGAGTAGAGGCCCCACTGGGCTGGACCATAACAATTAGAAGTTCAGGAATGCTCTTAAAGAAACACAGCTGTGTTTTCAAGTTTAATTACAAGCAGGTCCCAGGTGACTGCTATGCAAAGCCAGATTTGGGATACCTTTGTCCAGTTTTTCTTTTTTTCCTTTCAGATGGTGTCACCTGTGGTGCGGGGAGAAGCGGAGCATGAACAACAACAACAAAAAACAAAACAGTGAGCAAGGAGGCACAAGCGAGCTGGCACTATTTTGGGAGGAAAAATGCAAACTTTTCACACCCGGTGGGGAAGAGGAGTAACAGTGCCTTCTATACAAGGTGCCTCTGACAAAGGACAGAAAAGGCAGTTTTCTAAGAGTGAGCCCTGCCTTTAGGGTGGGGTGCTGCGAGCAAAGAAATAATGCACGTGCGTGCGTGGGTGCTTATGCGTGCGCGTGTACGCACGTGCACACTGGAGAAGGGGAATCCCTGGCAGGATTGGCTTAAGCGCCTCTTTCACACCTGTCCCGCAGAAACCTGGGCATGGATCCCTGGCCCACGACACCCAGCTTTACTGGAGCCTGCAGGATACCCAGGAAAGTGAAGGGGACCCCCCACACACACACCCCAGGTTTTGCAGGAACCTTCCTGTAAAACCTTTCGCAAAAAGCGAGAGACCAAGTGCAGGCGCCCAGCGCTTGCTTTGAAAACACCTCGCTAATTAGCACTGGTTTGGCAAAACACTGCTCGCATTTTGGACTGGGAGAAAATGAGGGCTCTTTAATTTAAAGTGCAAAGGTGTGGCTCCTTTGGCCTCCTTCGCGGGCGCTGCCAAGGCTCCACTCCAGCGCTTTCCACCAAGGAGGTTCTTTCTAGGGTTTTCCCTCAAACTGAATCCAAGAAGGGAAAGGGAGAAAGAGAGAAAAGCCTTCAAAATAAAACTGCAACAACCATGAAAACTTTTATTTGGATTAGAGAAGGCGAGGAAAGGAAGAAAGGAAAGGGAGAAGAAAGGCAGAAAAGAAAGAAAAAGGCTTCACAGGTGGTCCCGGAGCTCCGGGGGTTAGACTGCCCTGTGGGAGTGAAGATGGGGTCCAGCGCGCAGGCCCTGGTCTCTAGGGTGCGCAGAAATCGGCCACACCCATCGGCATTGGAAAGAAACTTTTACTGATTGCGTGTGCACCGCTGCGTTTAGAAACTTGCGAGGTGCATGTGACTCCTCCTCTCAGCAAAGTAAACCGCCCCCCGCCCCCACCGCCCGCTTCCGCGAGTCTGATTGGTCCTCAGCGCCTTAGACTGCCCTAGTCCTCCAAAACCCACCCAGACCTAAGCGACCAGGTCACTGGGCGCCGCCCTCTCCCCTCCCGCGGTCTCAGGGCCCCTTCGCCCCTCCAGAGCCGCCTCCCACCACCTCCCGCGCAGGTCTTGGGCGCAGAATCCTCCTGCGTGTCCCCGAGCCTCCTGGGATCGCTGCTGGCACCGACCCTCGGCACCGGCAGTCAGCGCCCCACACGCCCCCTGAGCTCTGCAGCCAGACGCCCGCGCAGGTCTCTACCTGGTCCCGCTGCCTGCGATCTCGCACAGGTGACGCCGAGCCGCGATCCTCGGCGACTTCGCAACCCAGACCTCAAGTACCCCGCTTACGGACCTCGGGATCTCCGCCGCTGCCGCTGCTGTAGCTGCCTCTGCCTGCAGCACCAGCCGCCTCTCGCCTCCCTCCGCCGAGCGCCCAAGGACGGGCGGACCGAGCTGGGCTGCAGCGGGCTTGGAGCTCCCCGCTCGATGCTCAGGCGCAAGGGTCTGCGCTCCGCCGGCCCGAGCCTCTCGGGGGCTCCGGGGTCGTGGCGACGGGGTCTCGCTGGGCTCTGGCGCGGCCGCGGCGATGCGCTCCGCCGCCGGGAAACACCGCTGCGGCCGCCGCGAATTTAACTTTCCCCCAAAGCGCTAGGCTCGCACACCAGTGTTCCCTCCGCATCCTTATGGCCGGCGGAGCCTCCGCACGGCCGCCCCTCCCTCTCCGGCTCTGGTCCCCGACGGGAGCGGTCACGGGGAACTGTCGCGCATCACGGGAATCTGGGCTTTGCAGCCTGAGGCTCCGAGCTCTTTTTCTGAGCCTCTCCCCAGCCTTAGGGAGCTCCCAAGTTTACGGGGCGCAGGCAACGACATCACCCCCTCCCCGGGCTGGCGGGGAATTGGGGAGCAGGGACATTCGGTGTGGACCGAGAGCCCCGCACTAACCCTACCGGGGTTACGAGCACTACGCGGCGGGAGGGGGGAGGAAGAATGGCTTACCGGAATTTCGGAGCTTGTCGTTCCGCGTCACAGCCAAAATGACCATGGAGTTGCCGACCAGGTCTACCACGATGGTGATGACAATCGCGCAAAACATGAAGGTGACCAGGGCCGGCGGGTAGTCCGGCTGTGGCAGCTTACAGCCAATGCAGCCATAGGGGGTCGGGACTGCTAGGTTGGGCCCCATGCTGCTCCCGGAGACCCTTAAGATCCCCAAGAGGCTTGGGATCCGCAACCGGCTCAGGCGCTGCGAGGAGCTTCCAGAAAGCGTGGATTCCTCTTGGAGTCCAGAGAGTGAAAGCGAGCCCAGCCCCGCACGAACAGCCTTTAATACCGTGAGGGGTCCCTAGCCCACCCCTAACCTTCCACTGACCAATCAGGACACCCCTGCTACCCACGCATTAATTACCCTCTCCTCCTGGACAAATCCACGTCGAGGTGTCATCTTGCTTCCGATTGCCTTGTTTGTGCTTCCCCTGCTCCCCGCCACCCCTCCCACCAGTCCCTCAGGTACCCTGCTTCGTGACTAGCTCAGAGTTCACCTCCCCCTCCCCTCCAGCCGCTGCGCCTCCGTTTCTAGCAAATTCTCCTTTCCCTTCCATACAAACACCTGGCAAAGAACCCTAGATTGCAGAACGGGGACATGGGGTCTTTCCTGTGGTCTAGGACCAGCCCAACCCGATCCACATCGCCCAACAGGGTGTGGGGGACAGCCAGTGGTCCCTTAAACTATAGCCCCCAACCGTGCTTTCTCCTTAAGAGGTCGGCACCACTCTCAGGGCTCTTGCCCGTCAATAGCCCTTCTGCACCCATTGGGGAGTAGGGGACTACTGCTGTGGGGACTTCCACCCAAACTCGGGGTCCCTGTCCTCTTAGGGAACTGATTCCCGCTCGGGTTCCCGTCGGGGCCGGTTTAACTCCTGTGTCAGCAGCAGCAAGTGGCTGCTCTGTCCCCATAAAAGTCTTGCACTCATCGTGAACAAATGCACGCTGTGCCCCGCTCAGGAAGCGGGGAGCAGGAGCGCACACTGGGAACGAGGGGTGGCGGCCGGGGACCACTCCAGCTTCGGGTCCAGTGAGAGAGGGACCTCATCTCCTCACATAGGGGACTCTGGCGGAGGGAGTTCGGGGGACAGTGAGCAGGAAAGCCCCTGCCGCGCTGCCTCTTCGCCTGGATGCCTGGGCCAGCGGCTTGGGCTTCTGTCCCCTGTCCTAGTGCTCCGCACGACCCTCAGGGCAAAGCGGGGCTGCGGTGGCAGAGAGGGTGCTCGGTCCCCGGCGTGTCCCCTGACCGGCACCCTCGGCCCCAGTCCACACTTCTTGTCGGCCTTTCTTCCTATCGCTCCATGGCAAGGATAGGGTTAGGGTCTTATTTCCACCCAGTCCCGGAACTCTCCAGACTTTGTCGCCCAACCCGGCAGTGCGCCCCAATCTGTAAGCGCGGGCAACTTTAGGGTAGGAGCCTGCTTCCCCGACAGCTTGTTTCTGTTCCCCAAGGGGTGCAGAAGGCTCCGGACAGACGGGAGAGCAGAGCGGCACAGACCTAAAGAGACTGTTGGACTGGACACGGCCTTAGGGGTCAAAGCCTGTCCCTCGCACTCAGGCAGGGGATGCCACCCCTAGACCCCAACGCTCTCCCTTTGGGAGTGGATTTGTGCTGACTGCTAAAAGTTAAGACTGCTGTCGGGAAGCCTCTCGGAGAATCTTCGCGAACACACCTCAAAATTCTGTCCGGACTAGCCCGCTTGTCACCTTGGGGGACAGGGGTTGCACTGGCCCGGAGCGCCACCGTCTGGACGCAGCAGCCCCCCGCCTCGGGGTGACAGGGTGGTCGTGGCGGGGGTGGGGGGTTGGGGACGCAACATTCAGAGATCCTTAAAGGGAAAACGCGCTGCTGAAAACTCGAATGGCACCACGTTCCCCGGCGAGAACCGAAGAGGAAATGCGCTCCCCGGCGCGAGGCTGACGCCCCCAGCCCCATCCTGCGCGAAGCAAACCGTCTCCGCCCGCAGCCCCGCCGCGTTCATTATCTCCGGCTCCCAGCTCCCAGGCTGCATCCCCGCCGCCAGCCCGCGCTCTCCAGGCAACTCGGCCAGGGGTTTCCCGCAACCTCAGCTGCCGCCTAGACAGCGGTCTGCGATCCTCTCTACCCCACTGCGCGCCTGGCGGAGAGCCCGGCAGCCCAAAGCCGGTGGGATTTTGTAGGATCCACTGTGGGCTATTCACACGGATTCCCCGGAGGGTTTGGGTTCCTTTTGCTTGTGGGAAGGAGCTAGCTAGAGTATTTTGAATTCAAAGGAACAAATAAAATAAAATTGAAGCGGAAAAAAGGGAGAAAGGATTCCAGGGATTTAAGACCCTAGACTCCAGCTGCAAGCCATGCTGGGAGATGGAGCTGCGAACTCCCGGCACAGACACAGCGATTCTCAGGCGCCGCGCCGCCAGCCCAAGTGGTCCCGGAGCTGGCGCGGAGCCCGGTGTTGCAGGTCTGCCTGTGGCCGTGGTCTGCGCTTCCTGGCACTGGCGATGGGGCACAGTGAGCCAAACCCTCTGTCCCCCGGCCCCTTCCCCTGTTTGGATGCTGAGTGACCATGAGCTTCTGAGACTTGGGCTTTTCAATACAAATATTGAAGCAAATATTTTAAAAATCTAAGGGGTCTGGTGCCAGTCCAAGCCGGTCCGCTCTGGAGAACTCTGTATCTGATTAAGTTAATTTCCTTATATTTCCGAACTGGTCCCAATACAGATTCTGAACATCGCTCCGATGCTAAGAATAACGGTGAATCCGTCAGATAGAAACAGGAGGGAGACAACCAACACCTTTCTGCCAGGTTAGAAGTCTGTCATGCAATAAATTCAACGACTTTGGAAAGGTAAAGTTAGAGCCCTTTATGGGGTACAGCGCAGAGTGCGTGGCTTAGGATTCCAAAGATTTCAAATTAAATTTCTTTCTAAAAGGTCTGCTCAGGATGAATGGCTAAAGCAGACGTGGTATTTACACACAATGGAGTACTCCCCTGCCAGCACTGCTCTGCCCTCAACTCCGCTCATTTGTAGGAAATGGATGCTCCTTGAAACCGTAGTTACTTTAGATAAATCAAACATACGGGCTTAAATATTACATGGTTTCTCCTATATGAGAAACCCAAAGATGAATAAAAAGCGAAACAAAAGACAGATCATGGGGAATAGGAAGATGGATGCTTTGCAGAAGGGAAGGGGACAGAGAGATGAGGGAGGGAGAGTGAGAGGAGGGTTCTGTCCATGTAGCAATGACCCATGAACAATGAGATCATGACACACCGCAAACGTGGAATAATAAACATTTTACAAAATAAAATGTGAAAGCCCACCGGGATGCTTTGTAAGTGGGGGGTGCACAGAAACAATTTATTGGGAATTTGCAAGCTTTCAATATATAAAATCCAAATACAGGAGACCCAGGACAGAGCAAGCAGGCACTTCCGGTGGCCTTCTGGGTACATGACAGAACCCGAGCACGGTGTCGCCTTCTAGCAAACTTTCCAGCTCTCTGTTTAACCCTTGATACTGCAATAGTGACTGTAATTAGGGGATGTTAAGTAAGTCTTTTATAGCTTTCTAAAGCTTGTATAGAAAGAATCAACTTATATCATGTAGAGGCATGAATTCTCTATGACGAATGTCATCATTATGTATATCTAAACCGTACCAACAAAATCTGATTGGAAGAAAAAAAAAAAACTTCTACAAGATATGTTTTCTCCCAGCAAGGCCATTAAATAGATGGGGATACTGAGGCTTAGAGAGGAGAAAGAACTTGCCCAAGATCATGGCAAGGCTGCTATAGGAACCCAGGCTCCAGTCCAGGCTCAGTCCCTGCTCAGCCAGCCCTGGTTTGCCACCACAGCCCACGCTGGCAAAATAGCCTTTTGGCTCTGGGTCTCCATAGCATGAGTTCCCTGTTCTCTTTCGGTTGCTGTGTTGCTTCTGACTCCTTTGTTTTTATTGAGATTTTAATGCCCCCACCGGAACACTTACCCTCTACTGTTACAATCCAGCCACTTCCGCATATTAACAAAGTTGTGTGACCATCACCAATATCTAATTTCAGACCCTCCCTGTCACCCCAGAAAGAACCTCAGTCCATTAGCAATCATTCCTCATTCCACTCCCCTGGCCTGGGATCCTAGAAATTACTCATCAGCTCTCTGTCTCCATGGATTTGCCTATCTGGACATTTTGTATAAACAGAACCACACCGTATGCGGCTTGTGTGTCTGGCTTCCTGTTCATGGCTGCATGACATTCCATGGTCCGGACAGACCACCTCTTGCTTATCTGTCCTTCCATTGACTTGGGCGTGAGCATTTTCCTGCTCTTAGGAAAAGTAGTGCTGGGAACATCCGGGCTTCCTTTTAGCCCCAGGATAGACAAGCAGAGGGCCCCTTGAAACCCACTGCCGCTGTCTTGCTGGACAACCCGGGCTGTTGCAGGCACTCTGCCTTCTCGGGTCAGAATTTCTCTGAATTACTGAGTCATTTGCTAAATGTACCTTACATCACTCGGGGGGAGGGTCTCTAATAGATAAACAGAGAGCTTGTGGAACCCCAGGAAAACTGAGAATGCCCTTCAGCTGCTGGGCAGACAGGAAGCACACTCGATTCAGTTCTTCAAAACGAAACCAAACTTGAGCCCAGCTCTTCCACAGATGAAATGTGTGGCTGTGGGCAAGTTGCTCAACCTCTCTGGGCCTCTGTGGGCTCTGTATAAACTGCGGATCATCACGGTGCCTGCTAAGGTGGAGTGGGTGGTTATAGGACACCGACAGTGCACCAAGCACTTAGGGCAGAGTAGGTAAGCACTCAGCAGCCACTTCTGTCACTGTTGCTGTTGTTGTTACCCTGACAATTTCTAAGGCTCCATTAAATTCTTACTGCGCTTCTCTCCAGGACTCCGGCTTTCTGGGATGGCAGACATTCTGCAGTCAGCTGTCTCTCCTGGCAGACCCCACCCAGCATCCCAGGCCACCGTGAGGGTCCAGTGGAAAGGACACTCAGCATGGCTGGCTCTTACACTGCCCATGTCCTGGACGGAGATGTTTCCCTGACGTGACTCCTGTTTGCCCCAACAGACAGCGATGGGGTTTCTGCATATCCCTCAGAAGAAGAAAGGAGAAAGGTCGCCCTAGAGACAGGCAGACTCCAG